CTAATTTTTTAAATACTTTGAATTACAAGTTATTTTATGAATTTTCACCTGTGGATTAATGAACAGTGGACGAGTGTGATGAGTGACATAACCTGACAAAAGGGGTTGCCAGAGTTATATGAACTTCCTGACAAAATATTGGCTGTCTCTTATACACATCTAGATGTGTATAAGAGACAGATTATATTATTCACCTACTCAAGTCCTGGTCAGATAAGAAGATGTACTGTAAAGCTGTTTTAATGGTGCAATTTAAGTAGAATTTAATGGACAATGCAGATGGTCAGTGGATTAATTTGTGCAGATGTCTATCCAGGGTTCTATTTAAACATGAGGAAGACCAGGGGGAAACAAATTTTTGGGAAAATAAAAAAAAAAACTGTATTAGAGTGGTAAAACAGGTGGTTTTGACGAGCCTCAATTATGATGACCAAAAATGTGTCTAATAATTCCTACTGAAGTTTGGAAACAGGTGTAGGCAATACATCATATACTACCAGACTCATTGCTACTAAGCAAGTTATCAAAGTTTTTCATTGATAAAGTGTGCTTTTGAAACTATGTAATAAACAAGATCATGAAAATACAAAGCTATAACTGTACATTTCTCGGAATCATGCAATGCACTGGAATGAGACAAGCACATGGGAAATATAATTGGGGCATTCATAGTATGTAATAAAATGGCTGCCCTAGATAAACAATTCAGTGCTTATAGTAAAAACATCTATAAATTAGACATTGCAAAAACAATTTATAATAAAATGATTTATTGGTTTTAATGACCAAAATATATACTGTATATTCTGTTGGTAGAGTAATTTTATTTCCATAATCTTTTCTGGGTTGCATCTTTCTGTTTCTAAAATTTGTTCGATTATACTTGTCCCACAGAGTATTTCTAGGAGTGCTAGGGACGACCATACTCGTCAAAATCGGAATAATATTCTAGATTTTATTACTGTACTTCTTTGTTATACACTGTAAAACCACAGACATAACAGCTGGTAGTTCGGGGAATATATACACCTGAACAATAACATACAAGTATACGTACGTAAGTTTGTTGCGTAATGTTGCCGGCAGTACACTCAATTGCATGAGTTGGGGAGCCTGGTGAACATATACAAACCCATGCAAAAAACGGACAAGAAAACTCGCACTTGACAGAAACAATATAAAATGCTGTCCCAGTGCCGGCGACGAGTATTATTTTCCCGCCAATTTATTAGACACACCATTTTGATGATATATGACTAGATAAAATTTCAAAAAAGTATGTTTGTACATGTAAACTTGTTTTAGCACACGGGAAGGAACCTTAAAAAACAGGTCTGGCAGTCAATGTGTTATTTTAATGTAATTTTCTTTTTTACATACACTTACAATTGTCTTACAATCAGCCAAAAAGAAAGAAAACCTTTAAACCATTGCAGATGCTATGAAAATTTGAAATCTCAGAATAACAAATTTTCTAGATTACAACTCAGTATAATAATGAAAATGATGACAAAAACAAAAACAACAATTAATAATGAAAATATTTTAGGTTATAGATCAGGTGTGGTGTCAGTGGGGGCCGGGGGACCTGGGCCTCCGTCGGGGGAAAAAAACCCCACAATTTTTCGGGGAGAAAACAAAATTATATGTATTTTGAACATAATTTATTAGTAGACTCTAAAAACGAGTAAATAAGCCTTGAGACACCTAAACTTTGAAGCCCTCTGGACCACTTTCTAAACATTTTAAGCGATGCTCGA